ACGTATCTCAAAATAATTAAAGCTATTTATGACAAACCAACAGCCAATATCATACTGAATGGGCAAAAACTGAAAGCACTCCCTTTGAAATCTGGCACTAGACAAGGATGCCCTCTCTCACCACTCCTATTCAATAAAGTATTGGAAGTTCTAGCCAGAGCAATCAGGCAAGAAAAAGAAATAAAGTGTATTCAAATAGGAAAGGAGGAAGTCAAACTGTCTCTATTTGCACACGACATGATTGTATATTTACAAGACCCCATCGTCTCAGCCAAAAATCTTCTGAAACTGATAAGCAACTTCTGCGAAGTCTCAGGATACAAAGTCAGTGTGCAAAAATCACAAGCATTCCTATACACCAATAACAGACTTAAAGAGAGCCAAATCAAGAATGAACTGCCATTCACAATTGCTACAAAGCGAATAAAATACCTAGGAATACAACTAACAAGGAACATAAAGGACCTCTTCAAGGAGAACTACAAACCACTGCTCAACAAAATAAGAGAGGACACAAACAGATGGAGAAACATTCCATGCTCATGGTTAGGAAGAATCAATGTTGTGAAAATGGCCATACTGCCCAAAGTAATTTACAGATTCAACGTTATCCCCATCAAGCTACCAATGACCTTCTTCACAGAACTGGAAAAAAACACCTTAAATTTCATATGGAACCAAAGAGAGCCCACATAGCCAACTCAATTCTAAGCAAAAAGAACAAAGCGGGGGGCATCACACTACCGGACTTCAAACTATACCACAAGGCTACAGCAATCAAAACAGCATGGTACTGGTACCAAAACAGAGATATAGACCAATGGAACAGAACAGAGGCCTCGGAGGCAACACTACACATATACAACCATCTGATCTTTGACAAACCTGACAAAAACAAGCAATGGGGAAAGGATTCCCTGTTTAATAAATGGTATAGGGAAAACTGGCTAGCCATGTGCAGAAAGCAGAAACTGGACCCCTTCCTGACACCTTACACTAAAATTAACTCCAGATGGATTAAAGACTTAAAACTAAGACCTAACACCATAAAAAACCCTAGAAGAAAATCTAGGCAAAACCATTCAGGACATAGGCATAGGCAAGGACTTCATGACCAAAACACCAAAAGCATTGGCAACAAAAGCCAAAATAGACAAATGGGACCTAAGCAAACTCCACAGCTTCTGCACGGCAAAAGAAACAGTCATTAGAGTGAATCGGCAACCAACAGAATGGGAAAAAATTTTGCAATCTACCCATCTGACAAAGGGCTGATATCCAGAATCTACAAAGAACTAAAACATATTTACAAGAAAAAAACAAATAAGCCCACTCAAAAGTGGGTGAAGGATATGAAAAGAAGCTTTAGAAAAGAAGACATACATGAGGCCAATAAACGTGAAAAAATGCTCATCCTCACTGGCCATTAGAGAAATGCAAATCAAAACAACATTGAGATACCATCTCACACCAGTTAGAATGGTGATCATTAGAAAATCTGGAGACAACAGATGCTGGAGAGGATGTGGAGAAATAGGAACACTTTTACACTGTTGGTGGGAGTGTAAATTAGTTCAACCATTGTGGAATACAGTGTGGCGATTCCTCAAGGACCTAGAAATAGCAATTCTGTTTGACCCAGCAATCCCATTACTGGCTATATATCCAAAGGATTATAAATCGTTCTACTATAAGGACACATGCACATGAATGTTCACTGCGGCACTGTTTACAATAGCAAGACCTGGAACCAACCCAAATGCCCATCGATGATAGCCTGGATAGGGAAAATGTGGCACATATACACCATGGAATATTATGCAGCCATCAAAAATGATGAGTTCGTGTCCTTTGTAGGGACATGGGTGAACCTGGAAACCATCATTCTCAGCAAACTGACACAAGAACAGAAAATCAAACACTGCATGTTCTCACTCATAGGCGGGTGTTGAACAATGAGAACACATGGACATAGGAAGGGGAGCATCACACACTGAGGTCTGTTGGGGGGAAATAGGGGAGGGACAGTGGGGGGTGGGGAGTTGCGGAGAGGTAGCATGGGGAGAAATGCCAGATATAGGTGATGGGGAGGAAGGCAGCAAATCACACTGCCATGTGTGTACCTATGCAACAATCTTGCACGTTTTTCACATGTACCCCAAGACTTAAAATGCAATTAAAAATAATTTTTTTTAAAAGAAAATGTGGTACCTAAACACCATGGTGTACTATGCAGCCATAAAAAAGATCAATCCAATTTTTAGAGATCTTTTGACAACCCTAGGGACCATTTCTCTCAGAGGAAGTTCTGTTTGCCTTTGGCAATTTGGCCAGCTTCCTACTGTTTTCCTGTTATTAATATTTCCAGGAGTTTGGATGAGCCACTTAACATCAAGGGAGGGAGGTACTTGAGCCTTAGTGATTTTTACATTATTTAAGGCATATGGACACCACCTTAACCTTTTTCTTTCACAGCTGAACGTAAAGAGCTTTTTTCTTCCGCACCTCCAGTTTAGTGTCCCCAGCAACACACACACAGACACACACACTCACAGAGAGAGAGAGAGAGAGAGAGAGAGAGAGAGAGACCGACCTCCTGCTCCCAGCAACTCCATCCTACCCTGGGCCTACTGAATCAAAAACCCTGGAGTGGGTGTCTAACAGTTGCTTAATCACTTGGAGAGCTTATTCAAACACAAATTCCCAACCTCCACCCCAGAGTCCCATTCAGTAATTCTGCAGCAGGGCTGAGAATGTCATTTGTGTCAAACTCTTAGCGGGCGCTGGTGCTGCTGTTTCAGCCAGTTGCTCTGGAGTACGTGGCCTCCTGCCGACCTCCAGGACACAGGCGTCTCCTATAAGCTAATTAGGGACAGAGGACAGAGGGCAAGGGAGAAAACGTAGAGGAAAGGAAGAAGACAGGGAAGACATTCTGACGTCCACGCAGAGCTGTTTCCCTCAGGTAATGCAATGTCTGGGAACCCTGATGCACTTCATCAAAGCCCCTTTTCTTTCTTTCTTCCTTCCTTCCTTCCTTTCCTTCCTCCCTCCCTCTCCCTCTCCCTCTCTCTCTTTCTTTTTCTCAGCTCATTTCCCTCCCTCCCTCCTTTCCTCTCTCTCTCTTCTCACTTCTCTGCGGCCCAGGCTGGAGTGCAGTGGTGTGACCACAGCTCACCGCAGCCTCAAGCTCTTGGGCTCAAGTGCTCCTTCTGCCTCAACCTCACAAGTAGCTGGGACTATAGGCATGCACCATGACACCAGCTATTTTTTTTTAGGATTTTTTGTAGAGATGGGATATTCCTATGTGATCCAAGCTGGTCTCAAACTCCTGGTCTCAAGTCATGCTCCTGCCTTGACCTCCCAAAGTGCTGCAATTACAGGCCGATGCTTTTTCTTATCATTTCCATTTACTTGTTTCTGGCCCATATTAATATCCACTAATTCATGCTCTTCGACCGAGACCTACACACGGTTTCTCACGGCCTTATAAAAGTAAGAGTGCAATACCTGGGGCAACAGAAAGATTGAGAGAATGAACCCCCTAGACCCAAAGTCAACCCCTTGGAGCTGTGGTGTCTGGAGGCAGGACACGCTGCCTCTGGCATGTCTAAGAGGGTTTGGTGCCTCCCTGTCTCCACACTGGTGCTGCCCGCAGAGCAAGCAATCCCCACTCCTCCAACATCAGCAGCATCCAAGATCTCACAGAGGGCTTCTTAAACACAGATGAGGGCTCCACTCCCACAGCCTCTGATTCAGCAGGTCTGAGGTGGGGGCTGGCCGAGAATCTGCATTTATTTTTTTGAGACAGAGTCTCACTCTGTTGCCCAGGGTGGAGTGCAGTAGCACGATCTCAGGTCACTGCAACCTCCACCTCTCGGGTTCAAGTGATTCTCCTGCCTCAGCCTGCTGAGTGGCTGAAGTTACAGGTGTATGCCACCATACCTGGCTAATTTTTATAGTTTTAGTGGATACGGGGTTTCACCATGTCAGCCAGGCTGATCTCAAACTCTTGACCTCAGGTAATCGGCCTGCCCCAGCCTCCCAAAGTGCTGGGATTACAGGCATAAGAGCCACTGAATGCAGACAAGAATCTGCATTTTGTAAAATCTCCGAGTGGCCAAACATGGCAGCTCATGCCTCTAATCCCAGCACTTTGGGAGCCAGAGGCAGGAGATGGCTTGAGCCCAGGAGTTTGAGACCAACCTGGGTAACACAGCGAGACCCTGTCTCGACAAAAATGAAAAATTTTTAAAGTTAGCCAGGCACACTGGTACACACTTGGAGTTCCAGCTACTCAGGAGGCTCAAGTGGAAGGACAGCTTGAGCCCAGGAAGTTAAGGCTGCAGTGAGCTATGGCTGCACTCCGGCCTGGGAGACAGACCAAGACACCATTTCCAAAAAAAAAAAAAAAGCTCTCAGTACGCTGCTGCTTGTCAAATGACCCCACTCTAGAACCACTGTTTGTGTGTCTGAAATAATGCAAGAATTCACTTATAGTGATTCAACCAGCAGAACCCAAGAACACATCCAGGAAAGGTAAGTTGCACCCAGCTGATCACAGAGGTGAAGGGAACCATCCGAATTTCTGCTCTGTTCATATCAGCTGCAGAAATGGATACAGCAATCACTGGATCACACCTTTGATGAAGCTCCCCCTGGAATGTCCCATGTTTCCCGGCTCTGAAAGTCACTCTAGCTCTATTCTATCAGGACAGAATAAAGTTATGCCTTACTCTGAACATCACATCCATCATGGTTCTTGTTATAGAAGTTTTCTCATTTCATACCTTTCACCAGAAGGTGTACTGTATTACTCAGTCTTCATTCTCCATGGCTGCGGTCCCATAAGTGCCTGTCAACTTGATTTGACCAGTCTCATCCTTTAGGACTCGCTGCTGGCCTGTTGAGGAAGAGTTGCAACCTATCTCACTGTGTCATTTCTCTCCTCTCTGTTCTCCCAACCCCTCTTCCCTCCCCACACCTGCTCCTCCCACCACCAGTGCATTCCCAGAAGCAGAACAGACAGACCTGCGTCCGGAAGAGCCTCATATGCGCCTTTGCTATGGCCTTCATCATCAGTGTCATGCTGATTGCAGCCAACCAGATACTCCGGAGCGGCATGGAGTAGCAGCCTCCCACCAGCCACACCACGTTGCAGCTCACCGCGCATGTGCATGCCCTGCGGGCAGACTCTTCCTCCACACAGCAGACACGGACCCACAGACTATGGATGGATGCGGACGATGGTACCATTCTGTAAAGTGCCACTGGGGTTGCACTTCAGCTTCATCTCCTTGGCAGGGACACTAAAGGGCTGTCTTCAGTGCTTTAATGGTTTTGTTTTCTAATGCAATAAATAGCCAGGATTTCTGAATTATTGCTTCAACCGTCAGTCATAACTCTAGAGAAAAACTTCATCTTCATCTCGGAATTCCAGCGGCCATCCAGGTACAATGATAGAGCAAGAGAGAGGCATGAACACACAGTCACCTCCACTCCCCATTCTTTCAACCCAAGGTCCAACAGGAGACTCTGCTGAGGCCCACCCTCAGTTCCAAGAGGCTGACTTCTGGGTTGTCACAGAAGAGGGGGCTTTCCATCTCACCTGGCTTCCTTCCTCCACCCAGTGGAGACCCCCCAAGGCATGAGGGGAAAGCCATTAAGTGGGGTGCAGCCCCTGGCGGTCTTCAGCTGCACCCCTCACTGCTTCCGTTCTTACTGCCTTTTCTAGAGGACTCCCATTGGTAGAGCTGGGGTGCTCTCTGTTTCCGTCGGCACTTGGCTTTCTGTTCCTAGAGCCCATCCTGCACCAGCATTTTGGAACCTGCAGAGAGAGCCTTTCTCCCAGCTTTGCCGCCTGTGCTGCCATTAGAGAAAAAGGAAGCGTCATTGTGGGCATCTCCGTAACACAGACAGACATGTATATTTGGCTTCTTCGTGTGTGACGTCATTCTTCCCTAATCGCTTACACCTACTATAAGCTTGTCCTCCCTCCCACACTCATCCCTGCTTCTTTGGGGCAGGGGTGAGGCAGGTTGGGGGAGGAGGGGACTTGGACTGGCGGTGAGGTTTCGACACCCACACCCCGCCATCCCGAGTCATGGAGACCCACCACGTCTCCGTGCCGGATGACCTTTGTAAGTTAAGGTCCTTGTGCATCTTACCCTTTCCTCACCTTGGAGTTTGCTTTGTTAGTTAGTCTTCCCCAGCTAGAAAGAGAAATGCAATCCAAAATGGAAAGATGGAGAGATCACACTACCGTATTCGACGTACGCTTTTCTGGCCTTCAGATTCTGAAACTGACTCATTTTCAGGAGGTGAGGGGAAAAGATGTGTATTGGTTTAGCCAGCAGGACAGGTCATTTACTTCTGCCTGCAGAATATTTTCATTGCGGAAGGGAACTGAATCCAAGGATCTGTTTTCAACACCATTTCAAGTCTGTAATTTCCTGACTTTCCTAGATGTCGGCCACTACTACCAATTCAAGCTTGTGTCGTCACATTAGCCAATAATCTCTAGATATAATAGTCCCCTTTGTACTTCTCCAAGCTCAGGTCTTTATTTTGTAATGGAATTACCTTGCTCCTACTTCTTTTGATTACATCCCAAAGCTACATGCTTCCCCGCGTTCTTCCAGTATCGAAGCACCAGAAGCCTTCTGGTCTCAATGCAGCGGGCAGGGTTTTTGGCGTGTTGTGTGCCCCCGATCTCCCTCTCAAGCCTGCCTTCTCGCTCAGCTTTCCCCTACCGCCTTCTCAGACTTGGAGCACCCAAGGTCTCCAATGAGAGTTCTCTCATTCACCTCTGCAAGTGCTCCCAGCAACAGCCTGGGGGCAGCTGTAGAAACTTTCCCTCTGTGGGAGAGTATGAATATTTCTGATGAGCACAAGTAAAACTAGGGTTAGAGCCATAGTATGGTGGAGGGAGCAGGTGTAAGCTCCCAAGAGCCTGGGGGATTGCCCGTCCCTCTGCAAAACTTCCTGGAGTTCAGCCCAGCAAGGCCAGACCAAGGAGGCAGCACCCTGCCTTTCCCCGTTGCCTGCCCTGCCGCCTGCACACTGCATGCCTGCCCTGCCGCCGCTCCCATTGGCTGACTCACCACTGTCCCTAGGATCGGAATCTGAACTAGAACAGGTCCAAATGCAGAACACTGAAACATTGAACAACTTCATCCTTAATCTCTGCCCTGGGGAGTTTGCCCTCTCCCAACTGGACTTGGATGGGAGGGCACAGCAAGTCTGGAAGGGATATACTTTCCTATGTTTCTCTGACCCCTGAACCACCAAACCACGTCCTCCTGGGGACAGGCGTGCAGGACCCTCAGTAGACTGGATAGAAACCCCAGGGATGATTCTTCAAAGCCCCCTTCCCATGAGAGGGGACTGAAATGCCACAGCTGAGGCTGGTCTTCAGGGCAGACAATGAGTACTTCTTCAAAGGCGGCTTTTCTGCGAGTTCTCCTCCCTCCTGCTGGAGAACAGCCACCCTAAAGGAGGTGGGGGTTAGATTCCATTGGCAGAAAGGTTAGCTGCCGTGCAGGAGTGGGTAGGAAAAGGAGTTCTGGAGAGGCGCCATCATCCCGTTTCCTACAAAGCCTGCAGGATTCCTTCCCTAATGGTGACCCTTCTCGTTCCCAGTGACCTGGAAGCAAGCCCACCCTCCCCAGGGGAAAATCTAAGAGAATGCATTCCTCTGGGGACTGCTAGAGAGAGACGGCAACAAGGAAGACAGAATTCTGACAGCCTAGGAGTTAACTTCCCACCCTGGTAACCCTCCACGTGGCACCCAGGGACTGAAAGACAGTGCATGAAGATGGCGCTGAGCTAGAGGCATTCCTTAGACTTCGGGAGCTCGGGGTTGGTCCCAATGACTTTCACCCTCGCTGCTTTGCCTGGACAGTCTGTCTTGGGTACAGACAAGGCTTCCTTGTCAGGCAGCAACTCCCAGCCCTGTTCACACAAATTTTATGCCAGGCCTCCATGCCAGTCAGTGTCCCCATCATGGTGGCTTTAAGTTCATGGCCAAAGGTTCCAGAAGGTCCTGGTCTCCCATGCCCAAGAAATGCCATGTAGCCGCAGCTGGAGGTGACTTCTGTAGGAACTGGGAGGGAAGAGCCCACCCCTCGCTCTGTCCTCCAACTAATAAGACTTAGGAACCAGGGACCTTGGCAGCCCAGCGGAGAGGTGGCTGAGTGATTGACAAACACAGCTTGGCTCATTCTTGCTGCAAGAGCAGGTGCCCTCCCCCCTGCCCCAGAAAACACAAGTGATGATCAAGAAGGCATTCTCCTTAGGAGAGAAGGGTAAATGGACCCTGACCCCCTTGATCCCCAAAGAAGCTGTGCCCCACCACTTCAGATACCAACAAACCCCCCAACAGAATCGCGTCGGAACTACTAGCAGTGGCTTCCAGAATGTGCATGGGTCTCACGTGACTGATCTGGGGAAAAAAAAAAAAAGAGGGATATTACTATGGCAACCCTTGCATTCCACCCCGAGTTTGCCAAGGCACACAAAAATAGGTAACATTATTTTAAATAACACTCCAATTCAGCCTGAGTGCAACCTGACTCTCTTCAACTGTATCCTGCTGGGAGAGGCAGTTCCTCTCAAAGAATCTGGGTGGTTTCTCTGCCTTTTTGTCTTGCATTTGAACTTGTCCTTCTATTTACTCAGGAGAACAGGAGCTACCTGGAAGCCCTGGTATCTCTCCATCCCTACTCACAACGCCTCCTCCCAGGGTTCAGAGCCAGGACCCCTTAATCTAGGCAAATAGGCAGAAATATCATCTTGGAAGGCAAACAAGATTTTAAGCCTTCAATCTTTAAAAGCATCTTTTGCCTGTTGAGACACAGTCCTATAAGCCAGACATGTGAGCTTTGGTGAACTGAGGTTTACATGCAGTCTTAGGCGAGCCCAGTGGTTTCAGAAATATCTGCGTGTTTTATTCGCAGAGAACAAGATGTGTCTTACGAGTCTCCTTTCTCGACACATGCTCTGTCTCAAATTTCACGTGACAAATGGTCTACGCTCTAGCGGTTATCCAAAAGAGCTTGTCGAAGGTGAACAGCTCCTTTTGACAGTAGTGCCCCTCCCAGCTTCCCATTCACAGAATCGTAAAGTGATACATTTCAGAGCTGAGAGAGACAAATTTACCTTTGATTCCAAATGCCTCCTACCAGGCTTAAGGCCAGACTCAGGTCATAAATCAAAGACAGTTTTGCACGTTGCTCTTCACCTAATTCTAGCAGTTTCCCTGAGGCCCTCTGAGGACATGGACAGAAAATAAAGGATGTAACCACCTGGGACAGCTGCTGTGTCCTTGCTCTCCTTCCTTGCAGAAGCTGCTAAGCTCTGCTCCTCCTAACTGCAGGTCTCAACCCCCATTGGGTCATTTTGCCACGCTATTTCACCAAAGGCCTGCAGTCATGACATTTTTCACCATTTCACCAAGATACAGGAAGGGCGCCTTTTCATATGCCACCATAATGATACAGATGAACTAAGATTAAACTTCTAGACTTCAGCGCATCCTGCTTGTATATAATATAACCAGGAGCTCTGCGGAGCCGAGACCCCTTTTCAGACATCTGTCTGAGAAGACCTCAAAATCAGAACATTCTCATTGACCTCTGCAGTGATCCGCATGGAGCTCAGAGTCCATAACCTAAAGACCCTACTGCAGCCACCTTCCCTCCACACCTGATTGCTCAACTGCCCCAGAAGGGAAGAATCCATCTGAATTAAAAAAGAAGCATCCAGGGCTGGGCAGGGTGGGTCAAGCCTGTAATCCCAGCACTTTGGGAGGCTGAGGCAGGTGGGTCACTTGAGGTCAGGAGTTCAAGACCAGCCTGGCCAACATGGTGAAACTCCATCTCTACTAAAAAAAAAAAAAAAAAAAAAAAAAGCCATGCATGGTGGTGGGTGCCTGTAATCCCAGCTACTCTGGAGGCTAGGGCAGGAGAATCGCTTGAACCTGGGAGGTGGAGGCTGCAGTGAGCTGAGGTCGTGCCATTGCACTCCAGCCTGGGGGACAGAGTGAAACTCCATCTAAAAAAATAATTTAAAAAAAAGAAGCATTATTCACCAGCTAAGGCTTTTCAACTTGAATTTAAAGTGATGGCAACACGAGGAGAACTTGGGCTGCCTCTTACAGAGCCGGTCTCCGTGATAATTTCAGTGTCACAACCGTTCAGCTTCACTTCATACTTGCTTTGACTAACTCGCTCAGGGGACTGTCCTCAATTTTTCAGCCCTTTTTGGCCTTGCCACAAATTGTTTTATGTTAGTCCATTCTGCATTGCTATAAAGGAGTACCTTAACACTGGGTAATTTATAAGGAAAAGGCGTTTGTTTGGCAGGCTGTATGAACAAGGTATCAATATCTGCTTGGCCTCTGGTGAGGCCTCAGGAAGCTTGCACTCATGGTGGAAGGTGAAGGAGGAGCAGGCATGTCACACAGAAAGAACAGGAACAAGACAGAGGAGAGGAGGAGCCAGTCTCCTTTTCTTGATAACCAGCAATTGCATGAACTAGTGAAGTGAGAATTCACTCAGTACCACAGGGAGGGCACCGAGTCGTTCATGAGGAATCTGTCCCTGTGACCCAAATGCCTCCCAGCAGGCCCCCTCCAACATTGGAGATCAACATGAAATTGGGAGGGAACAAATATCCAAAGTGTGTGACTGGTTTGGAGGAATGAGATCAATTACACCAACGAGCTAAGCATTTCTCTTAGTATCCTGTGCTCACTGGTAATGTACGTGGTCATTTTGACAGCTACGGTTTCTCCTTCATAGGGTCTCCAGAGACATGATAATCATGTTCAAAATGTCTCGAAGGCAAATTTAATTTTATTCCGTTGGCTTGAAATATACCACAAAGAATGAGGGTTTTCCAGTCCCACCCACAAGACAGTTCTCTGAAAGTGGACAAAACTTGCCCAGCCACCTGCCCCCGACCCTGACCTTGGGGTAGTTCATCAGTTGAGCACAGCCCCCATGCCAAGCATAGACTCACCCATCTCCTTTCCTCAGGTGTGATAGGTTGGCTTTCAAACTAGTGCTTCTCAGATGGCTAGAAGTTATTAAGTTGCTGTCCAAGTAGAAAAGATGCAGAGGCTGGAGTTTTCCTGTGGGATAGAAAAGCAGGCTAATTAGGAAGAAATATTCCAGGGAATGCAAGGTGCAGCTGTGATACTGCTCCATCCCTGGACCTGAGAGAGACAAAGAAAGTTCTTAAAGGGCTGCAGATGCCGTCCTCTGAAGGTCTTCTCCAGATCGCTGACCTACTTTGGAAACACGCAGGGCATCAGGTGTCACAGGGCTGCCCATCAGTCTGATCCACCTGACAGGCTCTGTGAATTTCAAGAGCAGGCTGGTAGCTCGCCATTCCTGGGAGGATGCTGACATCTGTCAAGGCCAGAATGCCTCTCCCAGGGTGCTCAGACCTGTTGAACTGAGGCCAGGAGAGCAGAGGAGAGAACCGGAAGAGCGGTTGTTGCTACCAGCTGGGGAAAGCACAGAAGGTGGGACTCCTCCACCATCTAGGTTACGTTGAGTGACATGCCTCCCTGGCTCCAGGTTTCTCCAAAGCCAGAGGAAAAGTAAAGCAGACAAGCCTTCCCATCTGTTTCGTCTGAAACAAGACAGAGTGAATGCTTCCTACTGAGAGGGTCCGAATTTCCCCAGTGAATTGCACTAGGAGCTGGCAGCTCCTTTTTGAACACAAGTCCCAAGAGGCAGTTGTGATAAAGTCTCTCTTTTGGTGTCCGCTGTTTGTAAATGAAACCATGCAAATTGGTTTATGTCAAGTGTGTCATATCTTGCAGGCAAGAGGTTTTGTTTATTCCCTAAGGACTTGCCGGTTCCAGGGAGCATCAGAGATGAGCTTTCTGTCTTTGTCTTGGCAAGTGTGAAAATACAGGAAGTCAGTCACCTCCCCAAAGGTCACGTGAATCAGAATTCAGGAGAAAGTTGGAGGAAACAACCCAGATTCCAAGGAGAGATATTTATTTGCTTATTTTTCCATCTGAGAAAGCCTTACTGAAAGCTACTGAATAAAGAGCACAATTTCCAGCTATTTCTTTCTTTTTTTTTTTTCTGGCTACTATAACAGCAATTCCAGTATAGGTTGATAGTGGTTTATAATTATTCCTAATACCATAGAAGGGAGAGTCACCATCTCTGGTGATTGTGAGGAATTAGCTTAACAGTCCCGGGGCACCGGCCACCTGCGATCGCCCTTTAATGGCTAATGAGGGATGCTGAGTGTTGAGGGGTGCCTGCTGTTGAGGTGGCCCAGCCATGACCAGGGAGAGAGGGCAGGAAGAGAGCGGCTGCAGGAACCACAGGTCTCTTTTTCCCTCTTCCTAAAGTAGACTAACGTCCCAGTAATTGTTTTTCTAACAAGCCCTGCTGTTCTCCCTGGAAAAGACCTAGATTGGCCAAGAAAGGGTCCTCTCAGCTCCGGGTGGAGAATTGCACAAGCCACTGTGTCTCGACTCTCTCCAAGGAAAATTAAAGCATATTTTCTCTTTCTTAGCTCAAAATCAGCTTTCAGGGGTCCTTGAGTGGCTTCTTAGTGGGGTCTGATTTTCTTCCCCAGCTCCCAACCAGGAAGAAGCTATTTCTCCAAGGACTAACCAAAGACAATGACTTTGGAGAGAAGTTAGACTCAGAAAGTCTGTCCAGGCAGTGGGTTGCTGAAATGTCACCCGTTGGGAGGGGAGGAGGGGTCGCTGTGGCCGTACTGGTCATTAGACTTGGGACGTGAGTTGTCTCTCAAAGCACAGTAGTAAATGACCGTAATCTTTGCCCTGATACGTTGGGTGTAAATAGAAGCACAGCTGGGGATTGAGCATGGCCAGGCGCATTGGAGCTTGGCAGCTCTCCTGTCTAGAATAAGCCACCAAGACTGAACTCACCGATCACCATCTTCCCATTTACCTCATCCGCATTCCATTTCTCTCATTCAGTATTAGCTGATGATTTCTGCTCTTAAGTGATGAGAAAGTCAGCAGACTAGTCAAAAAAGAATCTTTATATAAAGTGTACATATTAATATAAATTAACAGCATGCAACTTACGGATCAAATGAAGTATATATTATTAATATGTTATCTTAGTGTATAAAGGAAAACTGCCATATTTACCAGAGTTTTCTTTAACTGAACTTGTCTGTAAATATATAATCTGTATAAAAAAGAGTCTAATTTACCATTATTTATGCAATAGAAAAAAATAAAAGTTTTTTTTTTCCTTTTGATGAGAGATTCCATTCATTACATGTGGTTTGATTTGCAAACGGATGAGGAGACTCATTCCTGGGACCCCAAAGGTCAGCCAGGTCTATTCAATGACAGCCTGCCCTCACTAAGATACCGCAGGTGAGAGAGCTGCCACAGATCTCACGTCTGCTGGGATGCTGAAGAGAGATGACTGGCGTTAGGGGAAGTAAGTGGACTCTGGAACATATGGTAAGAAGTATCAAACGTCTTCTGGCTGGGGAGCAGACCTTATAATTTTAAAAACT